GCGGGACAGAGACAGATATCCCATGTACTGATCCAACAGTTTTCAAACATTGCAAGAATTATACTGGAATAGTACTATGTCCTAACTGTAAAAAGAAAATAAAGTTCAATATGGAATTAATAAGAAATAGGGGCGTTGATATCACTGGAACAATCTGTCCAACGTTTAAATATACTTGTTAAATGATTTTAACAAGATTAAAAGTGATGGAAATTGAATTTAAAATAAATTACTGAATTAAATTTTCTTCCTTAGCTTTCATTCATTTTATGGTATCTTAACTGATTTGGTTTAATTAGATTCTTATTCTTTCTATTAAATCTAAAAAAAATATTAGTTTACTTTTATTAATTAAGGAAACAATATGACCATATGCTATTATAAAATATAAATAATTGATAATTATTAAAAAAATAGAATAAATTATTAATTTTACCTTTATATATCAACTCATAATAACAATAATTATACCTGAATGAATTCCCTTATATTGTAAGTTATGTACGAAAAAAAAAGCTTATGTAAAAATTATATAACTAAAATCTACATATTTTATAAGTTGTAATGACCTCAAGGTCATTACAAAGGTTTACTTCCATTTGTTTGAGTTTAGAGGCCATTATCATCTGATTTCAATCATTTCGGTTGTTCTTAATACAAATTTTATCAAGTCATTTAGTATTTTCGTCAACATTTTAACTGATAGAAATGTGTCGGTGCTAAAATCTTGTTTGTGTTTCTTTCTGGTAATCATGGGATAAAGAGAAATAGAAAAGTAGATTTGTAGACCAAACTAGCAATTAAAAGAGTATAACTAGTTGTAATTCTACCCAAGGGCTATGGCTCATGCTCCCCCTTCCAAAAAAATATTAATGCTCCCCTCTTCTTAAAAACAGTACATATGAAAGTAAAGTAATCAAAATCGTAATTTAAGTTTCCTTTGTTCCTTCAGTAGAAAGTTATCTTCAATTGAAATCTAGCAAAAATATGATTTCCTTCAATAATTCATAACTCTATAAATATGTGCCCTCCCCCCTCTAAAACCTATAACCCAGTAAACATTTGCTACCAGATAAATCGGTTGAAAACTGCATATCAGAAATTTGACCCGATTACAATACTTTTATTACCTAGTATCGGTAGGAAAGTAATAAATTATAAAATGTGTAGGAAATAGAATATGCTGTATCATCGCAAATACTAGTTCAATTTCAATGAATTTTTTGTTTGTTATTTAGGTAATTTAATTACCTTTCAAATGTTTCTACATAAATTTTACTATTAAAATAACTGTAAACGTTAGGCCCAAAACATTTTTTCTTTTCTTAATAACTTTTTTCCTGAATTTTCTTGGGAATTTACTACATATACAAAACTTTGTTTTGGGTGTTATCCTACTTCCAGAGGATAAAAGGGCTTTAGCCTACTTCCCAATGGCAATTCCATCTTGGTGTTTTTCTTTTTCAAGTTCTCAGAACCAAAAACCCTCCCTACATCTTGTAACTCCTTACTTTACAGTCCTCTATTCGCTATCTCAACCTTATAGATTTCTATATGCCCTCCCATAAAACCTCTTCCTTCAGTAAATCCTTCATCATTCCTTCTCTATCGCCATACGTCAAACCACATCCATAAACTCCTTCAAACAACTATTCCAAATTCAAGCTTCTGCAAACTTGTAAACATTTCTGCATTATATAATTAAATTGGTCACCAGCAGTTAATTGATGGAAGCTATTTTATTTTTATTTATTCACTTTTTTTTCTATCTCAGTATTTCTTGTATATATTCGTGTTTTTCCTTAGTATTTTTTGTAGATATTTATATTTTCCTTTGTATTTTTTGTATATATTTGTATTTTCCTCAGTATCTTTATATATAAATACACTGACAGGCAAAAAATTCCACCCACTTGTAAAAAAAGTTGTATTTGTATATAATACATGGTATTTGTAGATAATACTTAGTATTTATGGAATTTTATAATCTTTTTTACCTTTAATAATCAAAATGTGATTGGGTAAGAAAGATTAGAGAAAAAAAAATTGAAAAACGAACCATTATTAATCTAAAAGAAATTAATTACATCACCGTTTAGTAGCGCGTGTTTCCTCCTCTTGCCTTCACTACTTCTTGAAGACGCCTCGGCATACTTTCCACCAGTCGGGAAATGTCCCTTTGCTGGAGGATAGCCCATTCCTCCCGAAGAGCCCTTTCAAGGTCCTGCAGTGTATCAGGAAGTGTTGCACGCGCTCTTATTCGTCTTCCGAGGTTATCCCATAAATGCTCAATAGGGTTCAAATCTGGAGAACGTGCTGGCCAGGCTAAAACCTCAATATTGTTCTGTTGAAGGAACGTCTGCACTATGCGGGCAACATGTGGGCGTGCATTATCATAGAATGATGGCCGATTTCGTTGAGGATAGGAAACACATGAGGTTCCAAAATCTCATCTACATAGCGAATGGCCATCAAAGACCCTCCACGAACAACAACTAATTCTGTGCGGCGCTCCATTGAAATCCCAGCCCACACCATTAAGGAACCATGTTGGAAATATTGGCTCTGGGAAAAATTACAGGCTGCATATCTTTCGTTTCTTCTTCTACCCTTTCGCGCCCGTCTGGAGATCGAAGAGCGAATCTTGACTCATCTGTAAAAAGTACAGCACTCCATTCGTCTAAAGTCCAATGGCTGTGCTCTCGAGCAAAAGCCAGCCGTGTTACTCTGTGAGTTCTGGTACTCTTACTTATTAATCCATACTCATTTAATATTCTCCGAGCGGTACGTTCAGAAATTTGCACACCTCGAACTTCTTCGAGGTGATGAATCGCTTGAACAATGATAAGGTGCCGGTCTCGTAAAATTCTCAAAGTCAAAAACCGGTCATCCCATGGTTCTGTTACCCTAGGCCGTCCAGAACCGGGCCTTCTATTGTAAGAACCAGTTTCCCGAAAACGCCTAACGGCATCTGGTAAAGTTTCATATGGAACTCCGATGGCATTGGCTGCATATCTAATGGAACGTCCATCATCAATAAGTGCCACACCAACAGTGCAACATCCTCTTCACTAGAGGCATTTTAAAACTTAATATTGAAAAAATAAAAAGCCGGAGACTAAGAAATGTGCTACAAGAAACGCCACTGAACTAATGATACTGAATAAACATTTTGATTCCATAGAAAGTAAACATTGGAATCTAGAATCATTTCATTGAATTAAGGATTAAGGATTATTGTCCTCTATATTAACATTCCTAATTGAAAACAAACAAAAAGATTACCTATTTATTCATTAAAAACAATAGACCAATCCAAAGCAGAAATATTTTTAAATGAAAACATGAAAAAATCAAGTGGGTGGAATATTTTGCCTGTCAGTGTATATATGTGCATATTTTTAAACTTCTACTACTTTTTAAACTTTTTTATTATTCTAAGGGGACTTCAGTCCCAGAATAAAATTATTTTTCATTTCATTTCATACAAAAATTGTAAGGACATTAAGTAGAAAATTATAGGAAAGTTTCGTCAAAATCGATAGAGCTATTTTCAGTCTATAGAAAAAGATTTTTTTCTCTTATTGCACAAGGAGCACCTGTTTTATGACACAGGCACCTCGGTGGTCAAAACCCTACAAAACAAAGAAAAAGAAGCAATGAAATCGATCCAATAGTTCCCGAGATAATCTTGGCACAGACAGACAGATCAATGGCTGAAAATGTATTTTTCGGACTCGGAGAGGTGGTGAGGGGCTTTGAAACATAAAGAACAGTTGAAAACAGCACATCGGAAATTTGACCCAATCGTAATACTTTCCTTATCTAGTAGTGGTAGCAAAGTAAAAAGATTGAACATAGTAATGAGAAAAATCTAGATCCAATAATAAATTACAAATAAGACAGTCAAACTTCAAAAATCCTCGTGCATGCATCACTTTGTGATTCAGGTGTAAATAACTTTAATGGACAAAATAATGAAATGAAATACACAAATTCATTTACGACCAATGTTGCAAATATACAAGACAAACTCTGAAACCACAAATTCTAACATTTTTTTAAATTTATGAATAAAATTATTCTCTAACATCTTATTCCTTAGGCCTTGTTATACATATATACAAGCTCTGTAAATTCATCAGGAAAATTATATGTTATACTACAAATTAAATTATATGTATCCAGTTTTTTAAATGAAGAAATACTTTTTACTCATCAAACTATTTAACTACCAAAAACTAGTATTAATTTTTTTTTTTTGTAGGATAACATTTTAAATAGTATAAATGTTTGAAAATTTCACCTATTATAAAACAAAGAAAATCAAATATAAAATTGCTTTCAAAATGATTTTTTTCTTAAAAGAACATGCTTTGTCATAGAAACAAGTGAAATTGTAACTCCTCAAATCTCATTTTTCATAAAGAAAACAAGACAAAAAAAAAAAAAAAAAAATTATCCAAGCTTGGGGAATGAGTGCTTTAGATTTAAAGACATTATGCCCTCAACTCAGGACAATAATGACTATCGCACAAGTTGACCATCTTTATTTGTAAGAAGTCAAAATTTATTACTATTTCAAAATTGGGGCTTTGTATTCCAAAATCAGCCAATTTGTTATACTTTCTTCAAGAGTTTTTGTAATAGATTATTATGAGAAAGGATCGTATGTGACTTATCACATTCTTCGATGACTTAGTTTTATGAAAATACCTCGTGTAAGGGTGTATATTTCTTTTTAAAAAATTTAACTCTTTAAAATAAAAAATTTAAATAATAACCTGTGGTTAACTTCTTTATTATAAACAATGAAACTTAAGGGCAGGACACTGAGCAAGTACATTTATGAAATTAAAAAAAAAAAAAAACATTCATTACCACAGCTATACCCTCCAAGCAATGAACAAATTCATACATAACATCGCAGAATCAACCTTCTCTATAGCGATATAAAATAGACATCGAGGAGGATAGGTTGGTTAAATGATACAGAATATTTGTGTAAAAGTAAAACAAGTAAAAATAAATATTTTATTTACACAATTTACAAAAATAATTATATTAACAATATTACAATTACAGCTACGTTGGCTCTGGTGAATTTTTAGCTACAATATCTAAAAGTTCTTGGATTTCCTCCTCTGTAAGTCTATCATCATAGTTGTTAATCAACTGGAACAAAAGAGAAACACATGTAATAATAAAAAAAAAAAAAAAAGGAATGAACCAAAATAGAGTTAAATTTGGTTGATATTACATTAAAAGATTCCTAATCACTTCATCATTTACTAATTGAAATGAAATTGACTGGATTTTATTGCTAAATTGCAAGTTTTAAAGAAATTAGCTCTCTTACTGATTACAAAGAGAAAATTTGAAATAATATCAAAATAAATAAATTATTAAAAATACATTCGCATATAGGCGAGTGATAATGATTGAACTGATAAAGGAACAAAAGAAGAAGCCATAAGCTCTCATCCAACTTACTTAGTTACCTTAGTTAAGGAGATATTACGGATGTGGGATCATCTATTTCAATGAAACCTTTTTTGATGATACTAGGTCATAAAATATTAGACACATGTCCAAGGGTTCTTGGCAATATGCCCTAGGAGCCGAGAAAAAAATATTTTATAAAATTGTATTATTGTTTTAGGTTACTGTTTCTGACTTTACTCTGCATGAATTTTTAAGTTATTATAAATCAACTAATTTGTTGTTTTTTTTTGGTAAAATAAGGAAAACATATTGCTAATCGTATAAAACAAATTCTAATGTACAATAAATTACAAAAAAACAGAGACGCTACCAGTGAAGTAGGCCAGTTTGTCATGAAAAAAGACTTAAAATTGTTCTTAGCGTCCACTGAAACTATTAAATCCTTTTTTTTTTTTAATATTTCACATACCTATATATGAAATATATATATAAATATGTAGTATTGCAATAGTGAACATTTTAAAATTTGAGTTTTCAACATAAATACATGTTTTGAGGTCTCCTGAGTCCACAAAATGGTCTGTGTGTCTTGGACAGGTCTGGCTCAAAAACGAAAAGTTGTATGAAAGTGAAATTGCATATTTAAGGTTTGTATATACCTGAGATGTTACAACAATTTTTTTGTCAAAATCGGCTAACCGAAAATGGCACTTTATATTATCAATGAAACACATTTTTACTATTTTCTCAAAAACGGCTTCAACGATTTCGATGAAATTCATTATATTAGTGTAAAATTAAGCAGTTTTTAATACTATGTAGGTTTTATTCTCATTGATGTTCTTTAACAGAGCTTAAATGGCTAATTTTCAATATTAACTTCCTCTAAAGTACCTTTAATTTTTTTTATTTGAAACAATTAACTATTTCACATTGATCTATAATATAAATAGTTAAATATAAAATGTGAAAGAATTTGATAATTAATTAAACAAGAAATAAGAGATTGTAACAGGCTTCCATAGTAACATGAGCTTAATATAATACGGACTTCGACAATATTGTGTACATATACACGTGCGATTTTCCTAAATGTTTTAGTTGGTATTATTTAATATTTTACAGTGATGTAAATATTAAAATTTGTATATATAATAGTACTTAAACAAATAAAAATATCCACAATGAAATATAAACCAATATAGCGTTTATAATGTTTACTTCACTTCCCCTTTGTCTGAAAATATTTATTTCTGCTAAGAGGGTGGTAAGTGAAAGTTGTGTGACGCACCTTACCAGATTTTTCCTTTTGTTGTAGTAATTATATTGTGCAACCTCATATCTCCTGATATTGCTCTTGCCGATGACCCCTGTCTACTTTGTTCGCACTCAGCGGATTAGAAACTTGTCCAGCACCCTTGTCAGCCACTTTTGTTTTATTTTCTTCCTCATTCTATAAAATTTAATGGCTGGGGGACAGTCAGTTTCGCATCGCTAATCTTGAGAAACTTCAGGAACTTGTCTACGGCCTCACCAAAATCAGCAATATTTATTTATTTTGTTTTTAAAAAGGTTTTTGAACGTAGCAGACCATCCAACAATGTCCTCTTTTATTTTTGATAATTCACCCTCTCCATTTTTAGGACCTATAACCTTTTTCACTATGTCCCTCAGTGTACTGTTGTTCCCTTCTTTGGGGTGCTTCTTTGTAATATGGGTTCTGAGACCTCTTTCACCCTTAAAAGAAAGCTCAGAAATAGGACAAATTGTATCTTCAGGATGTAGAACTTCGTCCTGCTACTTACTATATGCCTCTGCCACATTCTGTGGAACATTTGGCAATCTAGGAAAAACATCATCTATTGACACTATCTTTCCCAATACTTCACCTTCTGTGTCAGGCCACTCAACTTTTACAAATTTCTTTTGCCGCCTCTTGCAGCAACCACCATCTGATATTATTGTCCTTGCCGAGTTGGCAGTCGCAATAAATGTAACATTTGATAAATCAAACGGCAGGTTAAGATAATGATCAGTAAAATGCATATCAGGACTATAAGGGCATAACAGTTCAGTATTCATAACCCTTCAGGATTTTCTCCTAAGTCAACATTATGATAACCATTGGAAAGCTAAATTATTGCTCTTCAAAACGATAACAATAACTTTTAGAAATTAGGCCTTTATAAGAAAGAATTAAAGAAAACTCCCTTAAAGTGAAATAAAAACGCATCTAAAGAAAAATAAAGGAATTTATGGGATACTATAATATAATAAAATAGAAATCCATGCAGAGCAAAGTCAGAAAACAGTAATATAAAAAAATAATACAATATTATTACTTTTTTTTCTTGATTCCTAGAGTGCATTGGCAAGAACCCTCGAACATGGGCCTAATATTTCTCTACCTACTATTACCAAAAAAGTTTTCATTCAAAGCGGTGCCCCCGAATCCCTTCTAGTTCTAAAATGAGTACATGACATTAATAAGGAGAGAAATCAGAAGAAAATCAGGCATCTATGCTAGAATTAGTACCCACTTTAAGCAGATTAATGGACTAATGCACAAGTTAAGTGTTAATAACACAAATACAATCAATTTATTTTTATTTAATATAATGATATTTGTTATATTACCTAATTCATAATATCATAACCAACAAATAACAAATATTTTAGAGTGTTTTCTTTAAATAAAAATGTCAAAATGTGTATTAAACAAGAAATGTTAAACTTAACATTTTCAGCTTTTTCTGAATTTACTGAAAAAGCAGCAACTGCTCAGCTCATATCTAAAAATTATTCCCAAGTAGCATTGCTTAATGATAATTACACAATATAATAAAATACATTGCCATTACCAATGAAAGTTCTAATGAAGTTCTAGGAAGAGTATTGACAATCATCAATTTCTCATTGTAGGTAAGTTGTACTTTAAATTGAAGAAGAGCTGACAAGAGATCAGTAACATTTTTTTCTGATTGTCCTGTATTCAAATTCTGCAGATACTGAGAAGCCTTAAAAACAAACATTAATCAAACAATTAAAAAGAAAAATTACATATAATTATTGAAATACTTTTAACACAATCAACAAATTGGACACAAACCAAATTAAAATAGTTTGCATATAATTAGTTAATTTATTCAACACAATCGATCAATGGACACAAGCCAATCACAAAAACACTTAATATCAAAGTTACACAAGGGAAGGTTACAGACATGGGGTCACCGATTTTAATGAAACTTTTTTTGGCGTTACTAAGTCAAAAAATATTAAACCAATATCAAGGGTTCTTGCCAATGCGCCCTGTGAGCCGAGAAAAAAAAAATTGTAATATAATTTAAAACAAAATGTATGTTATTAATGTTTGTCTTTACTTTGCCTGGATTTTATAGTTTAATACATCGATCGATTACTTTTTTGTGCAGAATAAGAAAAAAATATTGATATTAAATAAATGAGTTATTAAATATTTTAAATAAAGAAAACTAAAATGAACTTCCAGGAAAGAAAGGCACTTAAATTTTTGAAATGAAAAATAAAGTTACTTTCTGTTTTAATATTCTTTAAAACTCACAAATACGACTTTTTATAGATACAAAAAAAATGAAAATTTTAGTACTTGACTTTCTAGAGAGCTTACTTTTCCGACCGTCAACTAAAGCATGAATAACTTCTCAAGATTTTATCCAAATTTAATGTTAGCACAACCGTTGGAAAGCTGAATTGCTGTTCTTCCCAACCACATTAATAGGTTTCGGAATTCAATATTTTTTAAGCAAGAAATTTAGAAAAATTTCTCCTCAGGCATTTTTATTTTATACCTTTAGTATAATTTGTTTTAGTAGGTTGCGTTTATGACATTTTTGTGTATCATACAGAGTCCTAATTTTGTAATAATTTTGGTATGATTTCGTGGAGTCCTTCTAAACTTATCTAATTTTTTTTTTAGAAAATAGAGATTTTAGATAATTGTTCTTCTAAGCTGTGCTTTAGAAGATGGCTGGAAAAACAAGCCTCCTAGAAAATCAACTACTAACATTTCCAAATTTTGATACTTATAAAAATTCAAGATTATGCGTTTTAATGGGTGATATGTAGAACAGTTGACTAGCTTCCTTCAATTATGAGTTTTAAAGAACACTAACAACTAATGTAACTTTCTTTTTCATAGGAAAAATTGACATGGCCTACTTAACTGGAAGCCTGTTTCAGTTTTTGTTATTTAAGATATTTAATAAAATATTCAATATTTTTGTCTTATTCTGCATAAAAAAAAAATAATCGACTGTTATATTATAACCTAAAAATCTGGGGAAAGAAAAAGCCAAAATTAATAACATAAATTTTGCTTAAAATTATCTAAAAAATTGTTTTCTTGGTTCTTAGGGTGTATTGACAAGAACTCTCGAACATGTGTCTGATATTTTTTGATTTGGTATCACCCAAAAAAAGTTTCATTGAAATCAGTGACCCCACGTCTGTAACCTCCTCTTCTTACACTGAACAATAAAAGACTAAATGAATTCAATGATAAACAAATATTTCAACAACATACAGTATTGTTTAGCCATCTAGAGCCAAGTCAGAAGGAAGGTAATATGTTTAGCATGATCATTTTCAGATATCTTGTTTTTAAATTTTTAATGATTTTTTTAAGTAAATAACTAGACAATTTTCAAGATTGATGGGTAAACTTATCCCATATATTGTTATGAAACAATATAAACTTAAAACACTGGAAAATGTTTCATAATATTTTAGGTATTCTCAAATCTTGGTTAGTTTCATATCATATCATCATTATGTTTATATGATTCGTGTTTTAAAATCAAAAAATGTCAAATTATCAACCCACCAACATGTTCAAGAAAATATACAATTATATTCCATCCCTGAGGATGGAAAGGGTTATTTTCGTGTTTTTAAAAAAATATATATATTTTTATTAATTGTTTCATCTTATGCAAATAACAGGGACAAATACATAAACAAAAAAAAAAAAAGGAAATATGAATATTATATTATACCTCATATACAACCGTAGCTAACTGATTTCCTGATTTGACATTCTGTTTTGTCGAGGCCTTCAATTCATCAAGCAATGATAATACCTAAACATAAAAAAATAATGAAATTGACATCATTTATAATGTGGGATACGGAACTAATAGTTCATTTCCTCCATATAAGTTTATCACAAGTTTCAAAGTACAATTAGTTTATTTAGATAAGTATTTAAGATAATTTCATGTTTGTTTTAAATGATAATTTTTATATTCTAACTGTATTTTTCTCAAGTTATTACATCCCATTACTGTACAATAGACACCTCATCTGCTATAGGTATCTATTTTAGAAAATTTTACAGCGAATTTGTCTTTATAATGAATGTACACTGATTAATTGAACTTCAAATAAATCATTGAAATAATAAAGCTAATATGAACCAAGAAAAGAGTAATTCATCCCATATGTCACTGCTGCCCGATGGAAATGCAAAGATTGCATTGATCACACAGTACATGGAATGCTAAAAGCATGAGAGAGGGTCTAAAACTAGAAAAAGTCCATAGATCTTCAGACATTCGTCAGAAATGAAAGAACTTAAAAAATAATTAAATTTAGCTGCATGACAAGTGTGTCCTTATTTTTGTAAAACGTTAAGGTTACATTATTTGCCTTTAAATGAGAGATTAATTGGAATTATAAGTGGATATTAAAATCATTACTGGCTTCTGATAGCTCATAAATTAACCTATAATTCCTATGCAGTTTGGGATGGGAACTCATCATCTATGAGTTCTAGTTATTGAAATGGACCTTTGGATTTTAGATGTTGAAAGGACCCACCAATCAGCTACGGTTGTTATTCCATCTAGTGTAATCGATGTGATCTTGGCCCATCTGTCATGCAGAAATAGCACTGGAAGAATTTAAAATGTATTTCTCTATTATTTATTATCCTAAAATATAAATCATAATAAAATAAAACAGTACTTATTTTTGACTTTAATACCATACCTCTCGGTTACATAATGAAGCTACCTTGTCTGATTTACTGAAAAAAAAAAAAGAAGAACAATTTAAGTATGAACATATATGACAATAATTATCAAATAGAAGTAGTAATATAATGTCATTAATTAGTTATAATAATGTTAAAATGCCCGAGTTTGTTACAAACTAATTAACTATTTAGTTAAAACTATGAGTGTTGTTTATCTAAAGGATGTGCATACAATTACAGTAGAAATGTCTATTTATGTCGTTTTTACAAAATGTTTATAGCAATTCAACATTATTAAAAAAATTAAAAAACAAATAACCCTGTAAGGTGTAAATTACAGGTAAGGATATATTTTAACAAAGAAAAAGTTAAACAGGAAATATTTAAATTAATCTTAAAAGTTATCCTTTAAATATAAACAAATTAATAGAACACAATGTTCACATCTGCCAGAGTAAATGTAGAAATAAAAAACAAATACTTACACTTCCATAATGAAATATTCTTGATGTTAGTGTCAATGAAATATTCTTGATGTAAATTTTAGGGACATGTTAATTCGCAATCTGAACGGAATCGTAATTAATTCAATTTGATGAAGTTTAAAAACAATGTTGAACCATTGTCAATAAAGCAAGTACTCAGCCCTGAGTTTATGAACATGGTTATAACCTTCCTAATGAAAGGTTACACTGGTTGTGTAAGGTTATGTTATATCAGTAACATGTAGTTAGGGTTTTAATTTACAATTTTTTTTGTGTAATTTTAATTGTAATTAATAAAATGAATTTACCAAGAACTACTCTTCTTTTAAAGAAGGTCAGTTACAAAGATTATTTTATTTCTCTTAATTTTGTAATACTTAAGACCAATAGTGTTCTTTTTATTTTATGGTGAAAAATGTTTCTAGATCACTAGAGATACTCCTCTTGACGTGCCCATAAATGTAAGATGTTTACACCTTACTGATATTAATCTTAAAAAGCAAGCAGGTCGCTACAAAAAAACTCCTAGAGGTGATAAACCTCTAACTTATGAGATGGCCTATGCACCCCATAGAATAGCTCATTATAAATCATGGAATTCTTGGAACACAGGTACTACTCATCAAGCATAATAAATAAGGTTATTTGATCTAAGTATCTACTTAGGCGTTCTTTACTTTCTGTTGTTAAAAACCCCTTACACAGTTAATATCAAATTTTTTTAATTTATTGACTATCTGAGGGGTATATTGCAACAATAATATTGATTGTGTATGGGGGTTCTTTATATTTTTATTGTTTGAAAGAATTGATTGTTATTTTTAAAGTTCATTTTTGCTTTTCCATATCATTCATATATTGTGTGCTTTATTTCTTAATATTATGTGTATTATTTACTGCTACTATCCTTAGAGAGTCATCAACATTCTAATTTAATAATAAATTAGTAATAGAAAATAATTTTTAGGATATATTATATATTTATTGGAAAACCCATAAAGTAATTTAACGTTAATTTCAAATCGCTAATCAATATCGAGTATTCCTTTAATTTGCTCTAGCTCTCCTTAATCAAAGCCTGAAAAACACCCCACACAAGAACTGAATCTCCTCCATGCTTTATTCTTGGCTTTATGCACTGAAGAATAAACTTCTCTTACGGTTTGCGATGAACCATAATTCTGTGATTTGATTGAAACACCTGAAACTTAGACTCATCTATCCAAAGCACTTTCCTCCAATCTTCCACAGTTACATTTTTATGAACAAGTGGCCTCTGATGCCTTTTCTTATTATTAGGAGACCTTAAAAGTCATTTCAGAGAACCAACATGTTCCGGAATGTTGGCTTCCTGGATCTTCGTTTCATTATTGAAACGGAGAATGATGTTTTAGTGGCAGTGTTAAGGTCAGCTCAAATCTGAGGACCTGTAAATATTTTATTTCTTTTCCTATTAAAAATAATTAATTGAATCTCTTGTTTAAATGTTTTTCGTGACCTTCCTGATTGAATTTTATCACGGTGAGGGTGTCTCAGAGAGAGGGTGTCTCTTCATGGTGAGCAATTATATTATGCACCCTAGTTTTGATAATTTTTAGTTCTGCGGCGATTTTATGTTTAGATAATTGCTTGATTAATGCACTCTCACAACTTCATGTTCATTTTTATAAAAGTTAACATTTAAATTATGTTATGAAACGGCTTTTATAAATGGCTTTTTCTAGTAATTATATGAAAAAGATAATTTTCTGGAGTGTAATAAAAGTTGTATATTTTAAATAGTTGTGAATAGTTCACAGACCATTTGCTGACATTGATTTGTTTTGGAAACTAACTATGAAAAAGTGATGGACCTACTTTGAACCTCTATTGTGGCTTAGTTGTCATAATACACACCATTAGATGGAGTAACTTTGGGACAGCGGGTAAAATTTAGTTTGTGGTGATTACGTGGTGGATACACTTTGCTGGTTCAGTCTGCAAAAATGTGCTTTGTGTAGGCATGTATTGGGCTACTACCTTGCGGTAATTTGAGAACCCTCTTTCACTATACTCGTTGTGTAGATAGGTTTTATTTATTTCCATAGCTTTTTTCAAAATTCTTGTTTTCATGAAACTTTTGCTGCCTCGAGAACTGCGAACATCAGATTACCGCAGTATTAATATCGGCCATGAAGAAATTAGCTTCTAATTGAAAATGGCTTTCAACGCCTGATGAAATTAACTTCCGGAGGCTTGTTCAGTGTTTACTGGTGAAATGATAGCAATTAGAGAAGCTCTTAAAAACATAGAGACAAGTGAAACTACCAATTGGGCAGTGGTGACAGACTCTATGAGTTCATTACTAGCTATTGAACATACCAGGCCCAAAACCACTCTCGCAAAAGATGTAAGAAACGTGTGGGGGCTACTAAGGGAGAAGGGCAAAGAAGTAGTGGGTCCCTTCGCATTGCGGGATCATCGGTAATGAACAAGCCAATCAAGCAGCCAACATGGCAAGAAAGCCAGATATAATATCCGTAAAATCAATTAATGAAATCCCTCTAGAGGATTACGTTAAAAAAATCATGGAAAATGTGTGGAACATGTGGCAAAGCAATTGGGAACAAGGATAATCGAAACTAAAAGAAATTAAACGCCACTGTTTAAAATGGGAAACCTCTCACCGATCATCTCTAATAAAATCATGTTTCCTGCCGTTTCTAATGGAGATAATGCACTGTCCCAATTTTACTCAATCAATGGGGTAAGATTAGGAAAAATTTTAATTTTTATTTGTAAAATACTTTTGTTTCTACAGTTATTGTTCTGCATTATTTTGTAAGAGGAAGACTGACCTTACATATTAATAATAATTTTGTCAGCATTTTAACTTTGAAAATAAAGATAGAAGCAGCTTAGAACTTTGAAAAGTGTCCCAAAGTTACCCAATCTGACGGTACCGATTTTGGCTTAATGTCATATTGTGACATGACAAACCAAGACATTTGTTATTTACAATTCATAAAATAACCTAATAATATAATGGTCTACTTATTTTTTAATTCATCCTCCTATGCGAATTTAGAAACATTGGAACTATATAAACAATAAAAAACATATAACAATGTCATTAGGTATTTAAATTCTTCTTTTTTATCAGAAAAACTGGAGAAAAAAATTCTAATAACTCTTAAGCATTGAGAAAAAAAATGTTTGTCTGGATTAAAACTCTTCGTTAATTTGTGAACTAGTGGTTCATAAATTGTTTGGCTCTTAATTAACCCTTAGTTATAAATTGTCCTGAGTTTTAATTGTATATTTTGTATGGTTAATTTTATAGTACCTATTTATTTATTTTATTTTTATATTTACCTAGTCTTTTGATATTTTATTTTTCAATCCAATTATCTATTTATTATTATCTTTCAGCAAATTTATTGGATGGTCTCAGACCAGCTGAAACATTACAAGAAGATGCTTTCATTAGGAAATTTATGACAGGTACTTGGCATAGACTTTTCCTTTCTGAAATAATAATTAAAAGGCAACACAATCTGATTAGAATAGCAGGTATCATTCACCAAGCAATCCCTCCAAGAAAGTTATATTTTCTGATTGGCTATACAGAAGAACTTCTTGCTTATTGGTTACAGTGCCCTATTAAATTAGAATTACAAACAGTGCCTAATAGAAGTGATGTTACTTTTAAATATATATAACCAGTGAGTGTCCTCTAGTTTTTTATTTTATATCAACTGTATATATTACTTATATCTGTTAGAAAGAAGATTATTGTAGAAGAAAAGGTCTCAAAATAAAAAATAACTGTTTTTGAAGTTTTTTTATTGTTCAAAAAAAAAAAAATTAACATGTCTGATTCTTATTCTAATAATTACAATAATTCAATGCCTTTTTGGTATTATCTGTGACAGTAATAACATACATATGACCACTAATAGTTTTTAAGGAGCAGCTGTTTTAAATTTTACTGTCTTTAATATTCTTATGTACTTGTACTAAAATAGCAAGGGTTTATTATTTTACATATTATCAATCGAGCGTAGAACAAAGCAGCATTTGTTTCTGACATACAAGGGGAGATTACAGAGTAAGGCTCACCGATTTCTATGAAACTTTTTTTTTTTGTGATAATAGGTAGAAAAATAGGTTCTTGCCAATACACCCTTAGAGCTGAGAAAAAAAAAATATATTGTTTCTTAATTATTGTTTTCTGACTTGGTTCTGCATGGTTTTTTAAATTTTTATTTATCAATTGATTTGTTTTTTTGTGTTGTAAAATAATAAAAACATATTGCTAATTGTATTAAAAAAATTAAAATGTATTATAAACAAAAGTCTAAAGTACTGTAAAGTAAGCCAAGTAAATTTTTGACTAAAAAAAAAAAAATAAATAAATTAGTTTTGTGTTTAACATCCTTTAAAATTCTTAAATGCAAATGTGGGAGTAGAGTAGCTCATTGAGTTAGGCACTGAGTTGCTAAGCTCAAGGTCTCGGTTTCGAATCCGGCTGTTGTCAAATAATTTTTCATCAGCCTTGTATCGGTCCTGGGGTTAGGATAATCTTCTGTGGCACACCCAGCCTAGCATTTATAAAATAGCTACACTTAATTAAATAATTAGTTAAGAGGAAACCTGCCAGTTGAGTGTGATCCCGGCCTGATCACCTCCCAGCACATAATCCCTGGCTTTAAAACAGTACTTCCCATTAAATTACTGGACCCAAAATCTTTCATCAGTTGTAATATATGTATAGTAACAAAATAATGTAATGTAAGAGTTATGTACATATGGATTGATTACTATGCAGTGTACAAAGCAACCCTATGAAGTACTTTCAATAAAGTATTTCTCTCTCTCACCTACTTCATATTCTATTTTCATATACCAAATATTGTGCTGAGATATTCCGGAGAGATATTAGCAAGTAATGGTGCTTGTATTAAATACTGATAATTTACTCAATTAGCATCATAAATCTTGATCACAAATTTTATGTTTGTAATTAAGTAAATAAACAAGTCAATGATGTTCTTTCTTAAAAATGTTAATATTTCTATAGGTGACTACCTATTTTGAAAGTTTGAGTTGTAACTTGCAGACACAGATATTGATAGAGATCCATCAAGAATAATATTTTGAGACATTTTATTTGTCCATTACTTTTCTCTTAAATGTAACACTTTATTTAGTACGATAATGTAATATTTTGGAATTATTTAGCTGATTTTCTTCTACATTAAAGAACAGTAAGCTGCTAATATTCATAACTTCCATCTGCAAAACTTAAGTAACTTTACTGACCAGACAAAAAAATATTTTTTTGACCTGTAACATAACATTGTTTTATATGAGTTCTTATAGATTTTTATACCATGATAAGTATTAGGTTGTAATTTGGAAAAATTTGAAACCACAAATTAAAAATTCCATTTTAGGAGTGCATTTAGGAGACATATGGTTTGTGTAATTTGTAATTTTTACAAATTATAACCTAACATTTATGTTCTGTCTCTTGTTAGTTAGTTTCTAATTTATCCTGATAAGTATAATAGTGATTCTTTTAATGTCATTTAGTTCAGATAGAATTTATAGAGAAATGAAAAATCTACCAAAATATAAAATAGGAGTTATTAGCAGCTAACTTTACACACTTCTACTTCCTCCTATTGTTCCTGTTATTGTTTGAATTTCAAGTTAATAAATATGGTTGCATTTTTGGGTGATTTCATTACAAATTAAAATTCATGCTTTATTCACAAAGTTTCTATATTTTATGATTTATAGTAAATAATTGTTAATTGGTTACATTAGTTGTAATTAGCCATCTTTATTCGAAACATATTATTTTACATTTTTTTCTTTCCTTTTTACGAAAAAGGAACTTTTTAATTTGACTTTTACTAGAACAATGTTGCTTGAATGTGTTACAGCTGCATTTTTGGATTATTCAGACAGTAGAACGATCTAATAATTTATATACATATTTACAGTAGTAACTATTTACAATTTTATGGGGACTGGATGGATAAGAAATGATTGAACAGAAGGGATTTAAGGGTAGAAAGGGTTTTGGATTGACGGATGTGGGGCGGGGTGGAATGCCATAGGGATGAGGATAGGATAAAGGATCTGTCGAAAGCAGCGGTTCGGTGGGCCCTTATGTATAAATCAGAAGACCGGGAACGAGTATAAGTATAAGTAATAGAGAAGCTATTTTTGATTTATTAGATGTCTATATGTTAAAGAAATACAATTTTTATCTACTTTATGATAAACCGGATTCTGATCCATGTGGATGGATTCGGTAATGTGTCTTTTTCCATGGTTAGGGACTGTGTCAAGAATGAAGGTTTTTTAAAAATTAAATGAATGGTTGGGTGTCCAAGCATGTTCTGATAGTTTGGAGGCGGAAAGGTTCCGGGAAGTTATAGATGTTTTATGCTGGGAAATATGGGTTTTGAGATGGTTTTTAGTTTCACCAATGAAGGAACTATTGCAATTAGGAGTAGAATTAGGTATTTGATCAAATCGATATTGTAAAAGTATAGGATCCTTCAAGTTGGTGAAAAGGAAAGAGAGTTTGTTATGGGACTTTGGGCCAAGAGTAATAGTCGATTTTAAGAAATCTTTACATTCACTAATCTTTACAAATTTTCTGGCCTTTACAAATGTAAGGTAAATACCGGGGTTTATATTTACCGTCCGTTACATTTTTTGACCTTGAAAATTATCGACCTTTACATTTACCGACCTTAACATCTTTTGATCTTTAAATTTTTTTTTTTATCTTGCTTTATGTCATTTTTTTTGATCTTTACATTTAAATTTTTTGACCTTTACATTTACCGACCTTTACATTTTTTGCCCTTTATATTTTTTTATCTTTACTTTTACCGACCTTTACATATTTTGACCTTGATTTCTTTTTTTTTTTCACAGGATTTTCATAAAACGCGTCCCTGATAGAATAGTGGATCCTTATGTCAATTAAATCCGAAAAGTTACAAAATCTTGACGCGCGCTGGCGCATTCTCAAATCGGACAATTTTTTTATTTAAGGTGTCCCGATAACAATAATCGACCTTACAACAATTTTGGTTTATTATATAACAATTAATTTCGAAAAGTTACAATATTTTGATGGGTGGTTGCGCAATCTTTAATTCGCCAGTATTTTCTTAAAAAGTGCCCTCGATAACATAATATTTGACCCTGATATCTTATTAAATCCTAAAAGTTACAAAAACTTGATGCGCATTGTCAAATCCGACATTGTTTTTATAATAGTGGATTGATGGTTGGCTCTAGTGAATAATTAAAGAGAAGAGTGGTTGCGGCGATCAGTAAAAAAAAAATTAAAATAAATAATTATATTTATTTATTTATTTTTTTGTTTCTATGATAAGCGTCCCCGATTACATAATGGTGGGCCCTAATATCTATTAAAGCCGAAAAGTTACAAAAACTTGATGCGCTACAGCACATTGTCAAGTCCGAAAGTATTTTCATAAAAAGCGGCCCCAATAATATAATAGTCTACCCTAATGTCATTTGAATCCAAAAAATTACTCAATCTTGAGCGCAATCTCAAATTTGACAGTATATTAATAAAAAGAGCTCCTGATAACATAATAATGGTACCTAATATCAATTAAATTCGAAAAGTTACAAAAACTTGATGCACGGTTGCGCATTGTTAAATCTGACAGCATTTTCATTAATAGCGCCCTCCTCCTCCCCAATTACATATTAGTGGTCCCCAACATCAATTAAATCCCAAAAATTACAAAAACTTGTCAAATCCAACAGTATTTTCATAAAAAGCGTCTGCGATAACATATTAGTGGAACCTAATATCAATTAAATCCGAAAAGTTACAAAAACTTGTCAAATCTGATAGTATTTTTATAAAACGAGCCCCCGACAACATAACAGTGAATCTAAATATGGAATAAATCCGAATTATTTAAATAAGTCAATAATTTATTGATTTACGTTAATATTGCCAATATTTTTATAAACTATAAATCCCTTAACGTAAGAATGGATTTTTATTTTATTTTCTCCTTCCCTTGCCTCTCTGTAATACAGATTTTTGCTGGAATTAGTTGATACTTTTACCACTTATCTTCTGGTTCTTCAGTCTTCGTTAGCGGAGGTTGAATAGATCATCCCCGACTAATTCCGACCACCCGCGAATGCTTCGTAGTACGGGTAGTTATGCTTACTTACTAGCTGAAGTAAATCGTCTTCCATGATGATGTTGAGTCCGGTTTCTCTCAATAGTTTGACCCTTATTGCTTCAAATGCAGTCCAAGTCGTAACGATATGTGTTTTCGTAACACCACAACAGGGGAATAGGGATTAATTTCTTTTCCAAAGCCGTTAAGCTTGGCGCGAAAAACCTTACCTAAGAATGCACTTAAATATTGAAGAAATATAAAATATTTTTTCCTGTAATTTGTCGTATGAAGTATTCGATTACTTTGAAAAGTATTCAAAGTAAAATAATTCTGAGTAAATGCTAAAATGGAAAGTACTCACGAGAACAGCTGAGTAGTTTTTGTACTCGTCAATCATCAGGTTGAGTAGTAATTAAAGTATTCGATTCTCTAACCGCGCGAGTAGTTAAGTTAAATACTTTTTAATTTGTACTTTTGTCTAAAGGGTCCTAATTATTTATTTTTCCAGGCTTTAAATTTTAATACCAATATTACACTGCCATGGAAATATGTAATTATTAAATTATGTAAATTAAATTAAATATGTAAATTGAATTAAAATATCATGGAAAAGTTTTCCTGGTATCTTTC